GCCCTCTGGTGAGGGTTAGGGTTGCAGTATGGTGAGAACCAAGATGGTGTTTGAGATTTGAATTTGGAACTGTATGGTTAGTGTTTATGTTTAGGCCTGGGTTGTGGCTTTGGGGGTAGTTTTGAGGCCATGCAGCAGGTTGCCTAGGATACTCTGTGTTGAGACCTGCTTGGTACAGAGACACAAGGGCTGAGACTAAGGAGTTGAGGTCCAAGATAGTGGGTCAGTGCTGAGGGTCTCAGCCAGAGGAAAAGGGCCAAAGCTTGAAAGGCTGAAGCCTGAAAAAGGATGTGAGTCCTGAGTGTCCAAGTGTATTGGTTAGGGTGGGAAGCCCCACAGAACTGCAATTGAGTGCCACCTATGAGGCATGGGCATGGCTATGGGGGCAGCTGGAGACCCAATTGTAGGTCCTACGGCACAGTTTATACCAAGTGGGCATATTTAGGTGTTCGGGGCACGAGCCAGGCTATGGCTATAGCCCCGGTGGGTTCTATCCCCCGGTGTTAGTTTAGCGAGAGGGAGAGGTAGACTCGTAATGATTCCAAGGAAAACTTTATTTTGATTTCTTACTTACGCCCCACCGGTCGTCAGGATGTGGCTGCGCAGGTGGTTACACTCATCAACAGTTCAGGTGAGGGATGAACAACAGACAGACGGAGCGCTGGGTTTGAAACCGAAGAGGACGATGAGCGAGCGGTTGATGTTCGGGTGCACAATCGGGTGCCAGAGAGTCCAAAGGCAGGAGAAACCGTGGGAAGTTGGCCAGGCCTGCCCATGGAGCAGTAAACACTCTGGTTTCTTCTCAGGCAAAAGCTCAACCCTAGCTTTTATAGGCCAGATGACAAACATAATTTCAAGTCCCGATTGGTCACATTTCCGTGCCAAAAAGTTCACGGGGATTTTCCACAGGGAACGGGGTTTCCCCAGCACATGGCCAAGGGCCATGCAGCAATTCAATTAGGGGCTTTCCGGATTGAGTGGAGAGTGCTGACGGCACCTGTTGCTGGGCAAAGCTGGCAGAGCCCAGCCGGAGCGTGACATTAGGGTCTGCAGGATCATGATTGGTATTGAGAAGACTGAGAGTCCTGAGAGAAGACGGACAGTCCTGTCTTAAGGGAGAAATACCTCCAGAGAAGCACAGAGAGAGAGGACTGAGTCTGGGGTCAAAGAAGCCGCAAGGATTGGGTTCAGGGGCACAGAAGCCCTGAGTACTTGTCCAAGAAGAAAGGCACAAAGGAAGAAGGTGCTCTGGTTACTAGAGGCAGTCTCCCCAGGTAATCACATTAAGATCAAGGTGTGGCAGGTGAGAGACGGGAGGTGAGGAAGGCCAGAAAGTGTAGCAGGTGAGTCTGACCACCAGGAGATGTCAGATGCTGGGGGTAGACCTGCGAACCTGCTACATCACTATTCTGGTAGTGAACATCCACAGGTATCATGGCTGGGATGTCTGCTCTGATGCGCTGTAATTACAGCACATCGGACTCAATTAATTAAGTCTGCTGAAGCATGCTACTTAACATCCTCCAGCAGCCTTGGTGTCTCATGTATTCAGCATCCCCATATTTCAAAATGGTGGTGGGGGTACTTTAACTAAAACTCATTGAACAAGATTTAGGGAATGCATCCTTGCCACCATTCTGAAGCGCGGGATGAGGAATGCATGCGATGCTGTAAGCACTTTAATTAGAGTGTTCCCAAGAGCCGCTCTAATTAAAGCACCCCAGTTCACCCACGGAGCATGTATAAATGAGACCCTTCAATTTGGGACTATTTGTTCTCTGCACTGTCCTTTGATTCTCAGGTTCCCCTGGTTCACCTGCCATGACAGATGGAAAACCTGGGAAGTTCACTCTGATTCCAGTTATTTCAGTACTGGAATCCTAGGACTTTTTTCTTCCCTATGATCTAAGCAGGGGTTCTGACCACTGCTGCCCCAAGGAGGTTCAGTGCACCCTACCCAGCTTGCCCCAGAAAGAGCAGCATTATGCTAATGTAGTCAAGAAAAAGAAAATGCAGGTCCTACCCCTTCTCCACCAGGATTACAGCTACCCTGTCAACCTACAGCCTTGGGCAAAGATCCTGGTGGGCACATTTATACCATGTCAGAGCCAGAACTTGCTGCCCTCCAAGAATACCTGCAGGAAAACTGCCCAGGGATTCATAAGGAAATCCACCTCATCCACTGGAGGCCTGTCCATTTGTTGAGAAGGATGGGAGTCTCCATCTCTATGTAGATCACTGGAGTCTGAGCCAGGTCACCAACTGTAATCAGTATGCCTTTTATCTCATTCCAGAGCTGCTCAGTTCACTAAAAACTGCCCACATATTCACCAAACTTGACCTCTGGGGAGCATTACAACCTGGTGTGAATCAGAGCTGCCGGTGAATGGAAAACAACCTTCTAGACTTGATACAAGCACTTTGAGTTTTTCGTTATGCCCTTCAGGATCACCAGCATCCCAGCCACATTCCATCGCTTCATCAGTGATATACTGCAGGACCTCTTGGAGCAATTCATTATTGCCTACCTGGATAACGTTTTAATCTTCTCAGAAGACCCTAACCGACGCTCATTGCATGTCTGGGCAGTATTAGAGAGGCTATGCCAACATGGCCTTTTAGCTAAGCTGGAAAAATGCACCTTTGACCAAACTTCCATTGAGTTTCTTGGTTCCATTTTATCCCCAGAGGGCTTAAAATCGGCCCACAGAAGGTGAAGGATGTATGAAAATGGAAGACACCCTGGAACATTAAGGAGGTCCAGAGATCCTTGGGCCTAGCCAATTTCTACCGGCAGTTCATTGCTAACTTTGCTCAGGTGGTGGCAAATCTCACCACGCTGCTATATAAACACTGATCTGCAGAAGCTCAACAAGCCTTTGAATACCCAAATCAGGCCTTCCCTTATGCCCCTGTGTTAGCCTATCCAGGTGCAGCCTTGCTGTTTGTGGTAGAGACAGATGCCTACAGCACTGTGTAGCAGGCACTACGATGTGCCTGCTCCTTTAAGGCTGAAGCAGCCCACCCAGGGAGCTCTGCCGGCTAAGCAGAGCTCTAAAGCTGTGGATTGCCTGGACAACAGCCTAATGGAGTAATTGGGCAGCAGGTGACCAGAAAGTGGCAGGGCCCTGTGGATATATAAGCTCAGGTTGGAGATAGCTAGGCATTCTCTCTCTGGCAACTGCCAGGGAAAGGAGCTACTGTATGTTGGAGTTACCTGAGACCTGGTGCTGCCTGTTTTACTACCCAGGTGCAGTAAAACTCCAGGAGGTCCTCAGGTACCCAGGGTTGGAGGCATGCTATATGAAAGTTGGAAGTTTGTCCTCTTAAAGGGGAAGAGCATTAACTTCACTGATAGTGTTTATGTTATAGCCTAGGGGCTTATGCTTGGGTTATTGTTTGCACTGGGGGACTGGGATGAGGCTAGAAGGGGAGGTTTGGAGGCCTCATTAGTGCTTGGAGAAAGGGCACACAATACGGGCAGTCCAGTGAGAGGCACCAGAGAAAGGGGCATAGAGAGCCCAGCTCCAGAGAAAGAGGCGCAGAGAGCCTGGCGCTAGAGAGGCACCAGCAAAAGGGGTGCAAAGAGCCCAGTGTCAGAGGGGCATGGTTACAAGAGTCAGAGGACCTGGCATCAGAGGGGTGCATAGAGGAGGTGTTAGTAGTATAACACCTGCAAGACATGGGACATGGAAAAAGGGAAGGTTGGAGCTGTGTAGTATGCCCTGGGCAGAAGGGCGTTGAAAGGTCAGCCTCCCACCTAGAAACAACTCTTTCATTACATCAAAGGTATTGCAGGTGAGTCAGGTGGGCAGATTGCCCTGGACAGGTGGGCAGGATGAAGTTGTGGCTGGCCTTGAGATGGCCCCCTGTCACACACTGGATTGGTGTGGTGCTCCTACAATGGCAGAATGCTGTAGTGTGTCTGTATTTCTGGACTGGTTTGGTTTTTGTGGTGTATTTATCCTAGTTATTTGGATAGGGAGTCTGCATGCTGTTGGACTGACCTGTGGAGTGTTGCCATGTGAATACACTCTTTGCCTGCTTGCTTCTGCTCCATATATGCCAACAAAAATGTCATGCGGCCACCATGAGTGGCACCACACATGCCCAGCACTGCTCTCATGAGCACATCTCAGATTAAGCTTGTGAAATCACCAGGGACATGCCATAAATGAACCATATGTCATGTTCTGGGCCTTTGGCATGTGCAGAACAGGAGAAGGTGTGTAAGGAGTGTTCACATCATTCGAGGGAGTCATGTTATATAATATGGTGTAAATGCACTTACACAGTGGTGCTCAGTCTTTTTGCCCCAGTGGCTGGAAGAGCAGTGCCTGGTTCCTCCATAGGCCTGATCTTGCATCATGGGGAAAAGGGGGCATGGCCTGGTCCCTTACCCAGCTGTGTGTGGCTTGGGAATTTGGCAGAAAGGGAGGGATGGCAGTACTGTCACTGCTCCCCTGACAACAAATTTCTGGATCTGTTGGGAGCTCTACGGGCCGGAAGTCATGGCTACATGAGCCAGACTTGGCCTGTGGGCCAGGCAATAAGCACCCTTGCATTTGGATATTTTCAGACAGGGAGATTTCTTAGAGGGGTCAGGTGTGTCTGAGTGCTGAGCACTGTTATGCTCCTGTGTATGAAACAATGATTAAACATTTGTTACAGAATCCAGAAAATAATAAACCTTCCTGGCCCAAGGAGTTAGGCAAGTCACTGGTGATACAGATGCCAGGGCTGAAACCCATTTTAAGTCAATGCAGAGTGATTTCCCAGAGATCTGGGGCCAAGGCCCCATGACTCTCTAGTTCTTCTGAGAATTCTTCTGCTCACCAAGGGAGAAACACTGCCCTTGCACTACTAATGTGCCCCTTTCATCTTTAACATTGGTGTTTCTTTTGCCCAGAATCCATCTGAAGTGAATCTGTGGAGCAAGTGAATCTGATTCTGCAAGCACCAGCAGTCAGAATGCAAGTGACATAATTCTCTATTTATAGGGAAGGCATGGGTCCCCAAGCAGAAGCCAATTGATCCTGTTTTGGAAAGCGTCACTCTGGAGCCAGAGCTGGAGGAAGCCCTCGCTAATGCATCTGATGCAGAACTCTGTGATATCGCTGGTAAGATCAAGTGTCATGGGCAGGCAAATCCCATGTTTGTTTATCATTGTTCCTCTTCATTGGCTCTTCTTTCAGGTAATGGGTTACTGACTTCAGAAATGTTGCTTTCTGCTTTTTTGTATAAGGCTGTCATATCAGGTGAGGGAAGTTTTGGTCATAAAGTCTGCCCCGCACCTATAAAATGGTTTGGTGGGATTTACTCAATGGTTAGAAAGAAAGCATAGACTAAAGAGAAATGCTCATCAATCCTTTTTCAGGACGGTCTTATTTTACTAGGAGTGTGACTTGGGGGTGAGGAGAGGAGAATACACTACTTTGCAATGGATACTTTAAGTGAAGTACATAGAAACAATTCTGGGTTTTACCCATTGCAAATTGGGATAACTTTGGAAACCTTACCTGAGGAGAACTGGTGGATAGAAAAGGGAGGTGGGGAGGGGGATACAGTAGGGGCAGGCAATTACTTTGGGTGGAGGATTACTTAACGAGTTTTGGTGAGCTGTTGAGGGCTGCAAGGGTAGCCCTGCCCCTTGATGGGTGCCACTTCCCTGGTTACCATCTTGCCCCCCCCATCATATACTAAAAAATAAAACATCTACTATAACTTATTTTAATTTTATTTAAAAATATTTTTGTCCTGATGTATGTGTCCTTGCATAATGTATCTAGAGGCAATTGCATAATAGCTCAAAATAGAGTCCTAGTCTTGTATATTGTGTGTGGGTGGTAAGAGGGTGTATGTGGGGGGATGTGGTTGGAGAATGGGTGTGTGGGTATGGTGGGTGCGTGTGGATGGGTCTGGGGTATGTGGCTGGGGTGGGGACAATGGGAGGCTGTGGGGTTATGGTGGGTGGGGTGGGAGAGAGAGACAGACGGGGCCAGGCTGCCAGCTCCATCGTGTGCAGCTCTTGTGGACTGCATGTGAGGCTCATGCGATGCATCTAGGCAGACCCTGTGCCCAATCTTCACACTCCTGCCACCACACCCTGGGTCCCCATTGGCCCCAGGGTGCCAGCACAGGCTCTGCACTCCTGCCTGTCGCCGCCACTCTCTGCCACTTCCTTACTTTCCCTTCCGCATGTCTGCTTGCCCTTCCCAGGCACCACTTCCCAGCTGCTGCCCCCACTTCCCCCGCCACCTCTTCTCATTTGCCCACTGCTCCCCCCACTTGCTGCTTCCTGCCATGCCCCCCATCTGCCCGCTGCTGCTTCCCACCCACTGGCTGCTTCCTGCTCCCCCCCGCCTGCCCACCACCACTTGCCAACCCCTGACCCCACACGTGCTGCTCTGGCTCCAGCCCACCTCAGCCAGCACCACACGATATCTGGCTGCATGGCCAGGACCGCATGGTGTGACATGGAACCAACCCTGTCTGGCACGGGCCCCACAGTGTAGGCGGTTTACATAAGTTTCTGCTCCCCCGCTTGCACCTGGCCGGGCCCTGCCGACTCCATGCTGCATGGATCTGGCCCAGCCTGGGTCCCCAATTGTGGCGGTTTCTCCCACTCCCTCCATCTGATGTTACCTGACTTTCCACTTGGACAGAGGGAGGGTGGGGAGCAATCAAAGGGTCACCAGGCCAGAAGCCACAGAGGCTTCCAGTTGGAGGTGGGATGGGTGGGGCTGAGTGGGCCTGGGTGCTCAGTCACTGGGTCCTGCTGCCAGCTCCTCCTGGGTCCTGCTGCTGCTGGTTCCTTGTCACCTTTGACAGGCAGCCATGCACAGATAATTAATTTTCTAAATATTGTAGGGGCCTCACGGGCTGGATAGAATGGCCTGGCAGGCCAGATACAGCCCACAGGCTGTATTCTTCCTGCCCCTGGGATACAAGGATTCAATTTATTCATGGCCTTCTACTGGTATTTTGCAAAGGTTTTGTTCTCATTGCAGCTCTTGCTAATAGCTACAGAGCAGGGTGACTCCTAGCCGGAAAGTACCATGGTCCATCTAATATGGAGTGACTGAACCCAAGAACAGTACGGAGTTTCTAAGGGACAACAAGGAGATCAAAGCTGCTTATGATTCCTGTATATATTTCAGAGAGTAAAAGTTGTTCAGATCTAGTGTAAAAAGGCATAAGAACAACCAGCACTTGAAAGTTAATCAGGACACATTCAAATGAGGAATACATAACACCCAACAGTGCAGACTCGAATTTTTGAGAATAGCTTACAAGTGCATGCTTTCTTCCCAGTTATTTATGATACTCCCAGAGGTATATTTCCTTCGTGGTTTATTTTGGCCTGTTCTTCCTAGGATTTATACATTTTCTTTCAGTGGTTTTGAAAGCAGTTGGATTTTTTGGAGTGATCTATTGTCCTGATTTCTTTCCCTCCTCACCATGCCTAAGCTTCATATTCTGGCTGGTATCAGGACAGTGCACATTACAGTCTGTATTAGTCTGCAGAAATTGTGGGAAAATACAGACAAGCTGGTAGTGGTAGAGGGCAGGATTTCTTTTAAGATTCCCCAGCATATACTTACACAAGGGAAGCAGAGACCAGCCCCAAGCCCCTAATGAGTCCCCAGCAGGTCCTTCTCCACTCCTTTCCCCTGGTTAGAGGTGGCTGGCAGGCACATCCTGGCAGGTGATTTGTTGGGAACTGTTGCTAGTTGATTTGGTTTTAGAGCAGCCCCAGTGCTCTCCTAAGGGCCTTGTTACACATTACACTGTGAACTGCACAAATGTTGATCAGTGTTAGTGCTACCTCAAGTTTGGAGCAGTCACATTTTAGGCCAGTAGGGCCTGGAGGACTGAAAGGTAAGAATCCCCCAACTCCCCTCCCATTCCAGGCTCCCCTGCCCTCTTCTCCCACTGCCACTTACTTGTGGTTGTCCAGGCTCTCTGTCCCAGGGGAACAGACACGGAAGGGTTAACCTGCCTGCCCAGCCCCTGCTGCTTTGAAGTCCAACTGCTCCAAACCTGACCTAGCACTAACACTGATCAACATTTGTGCAAATCACAGTAACCGGGGCTACTGCTTTTTGGGCTGAGCCAGCCCAGAGTGGCGGCGGCGTAGGAAGACAGGCAGGCAGGTTAACAATTCCTTTCCTGCTCTGCCTTGCAGAGAGACAGCCTAGGAAGCCACAAGTGGGGGCGGTCAGTGAACCAGGAATTGGGCAGAGTGGGGTTGGAGCAGGAGGCGGGGGGACAGGGAGAGGCTGTGGGTCCAGTCTGGGCCAGTGGGGGAGCAGGTACAGGTTGGCCATTTACACTAAGGTGTAGCCACTCTAGGCTACACCTTAGTGTAATACGAGCTGGGTAACACTGGATAGGAGAGAATCCTGCCCTGGAGTGGCACAACATTGAGCCTTATAAAGAGTACTTAAAACTAGTTTTAGGTGTTAACGTGCAGACAATCCGGGTGTTAAGAGCTCTAGGAGCTGCGCAAAATCACTGTGTAACAAAGCTAGGGCTGGCTTAGATCTGAGTTAGATTGGCAATAGGCTCCCTGGCCAGGCTGCCCTGTATACTCACTCATCCTCACATCACTCCTACAAGAGACCTTTATCACCATTTTACAGATGACAAAGCTGAGGCACAGGGAGGGCGAAAGACTCTCCAGGTCACACAGGCAGGAAGGGGGTGAACAAGGACCAGAACCCAAGCTCTTGACTTCCAGTCGCCTGCTCTCTCTCCTTGACAGCAATCCCTCTTCCATTTCTTTTGTAGTTCTTGATTACTGGAGAATTTAAAGGAGCTACATTCACCCCTGAAGCCTAGAAAATGCTGAACTTTTTCACAGAGCATCTAACCATTTTCCACAAAAAAACC